CCCACCCATGGGGGAAGCTGAAGTCAACGTTTAAGGGCTAATGATAAATATCACAAAGCCTGCCATTTGAAATAATAATAATAATAAACTTTGCCCAGGGTGCACCACGTAGAGGTAAGTCTATCGCACACCCCAAACTAAAAATATTGTCACTAAAAGAGGAGAAATTGGCATCCTATTTGAACATCTCATATATTTCAATCATTACTGAAGTGTAAGAAAATTCCCCTTTTACCATATCTCCTACACGAATGTGCACAATTGGGTCGTAACAAACATTTGGTAGAAAGACTGATCTAAATTTAAATACATGAACAATCATCGCAGCTGATACACATACAACTCGAATACAAATTTGGAGTCAATGTCAACTGTAGGTCATTGAAGAAACTAGAAAAAAAGCCAATATCTACGCATTCTTCAATTGGTGATAATATGGCAGTATCTGCGCGTAGCATAGCAAGAAAACAGGGTAACGCGCCAAACACAACCACTGAGGGAGAACCAATGAGAAACAAAAGGTTAGAGGAATAACGTACATCGACGTGTACATACCTCACCACCAGGGCTTTCTAACCTCGTGAACCACTGCAGTCACGTATAACTTAGCTAATTTATTCTACAATATTTAGATACTAGTAGTCAGGGGGGAATAGGATATGCCTAGCCAACATTTTAACCCCATCTACTAGGGTGAAAGATCAACTATTGATGATTTCTGAGCGGAATTCAATGAAAAATATTCCAAGAATGGAGTCTAGCCCTTGAGAATTGCATTAATCACACTCGTGGTAGGGGAAGGAATTTAATAAATGTTGTTATCAGTTAATAATATGCCTAGCCAATTCGTATTTAAAAATAAAGAAATGAGACTTTACAGAGCTACACGTTTCCTCTCTTTGAGCGATTCTAGCCATAGTATATTCCAATTAGCAACGTGCTATGGTAAGGTGCACGAAAGTCGTTATATAATCGGAGGAAAATGTTTTATTGTAAAATTCGGTAGTGGGAGATTCTTATCAGATGTACGATTTTACTCAGAATTGCATTTAAAATACTGTATATAACCCCAACACCATATTCGATTAAAAAACACTAGTTCCCAGACAAACTAACAAAAGCGTAGAGTAACGAAAAGTTTAAGTGCTGCCAATACAATGTCCGCATGAGAAATGCAGGGTGGTTACAAGAAACCACATTCATGAAAACCAAAATTTACAAATCTTACTTAAATTCAATAAGTAGTAACGCGAGGTGCGCCATAGACTTAGAGAAGTGACGCACTCTGGGCAAAGTATACACATTAGGCAAATAAGTTTATAAACTGGAGGCTGACTTCTGTCTATATGGCAGATGCCATCACTTCCACAGTACTCACCTTACTTTTTTCTCTACATTTGTGTCTGCCACCTTTAACATGCGTGAATCACTCTCCTGTTCCTCACACTACTCGACTTTATGACTTTGATGTCCCCTTCTTGAAGCCTGAAGTCAACTAAAGGGATAATGATAATAATCACAAACCCCATCATTCTACATACGTAGATATCCTATAAAATAAGCAAAACTATCATAAAGGCTTCATGGGTTAGACATTGAATTCAACGAACCGCGGATAATGCGCGAGCAGCTTCACGAAATAGACCTCAACCGACTATCCAATATTCGTGTTTTCAGCTCATTTCACTTTAAAACAAGTAAACCTGCTGGGACCACAGCAACAACAGAAAATTGAACACTATTCGAATCGTCCAAGCAAATAAATGTCAAAAGAAACCTCCGACACATTTCACAAGAAACTCATTCCCAAAAGCCATTTTGTCTGTTTTTTATCACTAAAAAAAGAATTAGCCAATCAAAGTATGCACCGGCCCCAACCAATGAGCGAAAAATCACCTTTATTTCCTTTGCTTAAACAGCAATAAAACTTTAAATGTAAAACTTATTCTAAATAAAGCAGAAGCACTTCACTGTGCAGTTTCTTTCGGTAATTCAAGGCACAATAAGAAATATTTGAGATCTATTGTACAAAATTGGACACTGAACAACAGCAAACGAAAACACCAATTACATAAACATTACCAACTTTAAGCACATAAATTCAGATCAATACGATAAAATTTGAACAGAACAAAAACAATTAAAAAGATATAATGGTAAAGCATGATAAATGACTCGAAGACATAACTCTTGAAAAACCCAAAAGTGGAATCTAACCCCAAAAAGAACAAATATGCCAAATAATGAAGAGTTTATATATCATTACAAAATGTCAACAGGATACATTTACTTATGACGAACACTCTTGACGACGTTCATAAGTTCTTCCCTCTTCTTCTTTCCACGTCGGTGACCACCAATACGAGCCTTCAAAAACTTAAGGGCGCGTTTTTCCCTATCGTTCTTGAGCAATTCCATAGCACGCCTCTCAAAGGGGGCGAATCCGACAATTTCGCGGACAAGAGCGCGAATAAACTTGGCTTGCTTGCCGGAATGCTAAAAAGATTAGAAGAAAATTGAACTTACGCTATTTGAATTGGAAGGTTTTACATGCTTAACGTTTTTGGTACGTTTGTAGCCTTTTTCACGGCCAACGCAGACAGAGTACCTACGGATGTGGGACATCACGACAAACAAACTGAAAAGTGCGCGAACAATAGACCAGGGTTGTTGACATAAACAAATTATGCGAAAATTATTTAAGATTAAGAGAGTGATAAATAATGAAAAATAAATAAATTAACAATACCATTTTTATAATCCTAAATATTTTGTTGAATTAAGTTTCATATACACTATCGCGGATCTATTGATTGATTTATTGAATTTACAAATTATCACACTTTCCTTTTTTCTGGTTTCAACATCAGTTCTATCTAAAGCAGTTCCTAATATTTTAAATCATTTTTATTAATGATGTTATTTACATTTCTCAAAATCTGTAAACATATTCAAGAATTTACCTACACATAGCTTATATATTCTTGAATAAAGACTTGACTTTCAGAAACAGAGTGATTACTAAATTCAGTTATGAAAACAGATAAAAATCTTTTCGTCGTTCAGATCCCCTGATATGTATTTTATCATCACAATTGCTTTTGTGTGTCCTTGACGGAAAAAATATTTTCTGTAAATAGTTGCAAATTATATAAAATTGTCCCATGCATTACTGAAAATGGAAATCAATCGACATATTTTTATATAGGAGGTGTAAAGAATCTAAAATAAGTTGAAATTACAAAACGTTTGCCTTTTTCTTCTAAGTAATATGCTGGTTTTTCAACAATGCAGGGCACTTAGAATCTTTCTTTCATTTTCAAAATCTCTACTTTTATCATGATTTCGATTCCTATTGTTCTAGAAATATTCTTTGCAATTTGTATTAACATAAACTTGAAAAATTCTAGACCTAAATCAGGCTTTCATTGAAATGTATAGTCTAATCAAACTAAAGGTAGTAATATAAGTAATTGGGGTGTGCGATAGACTTACCTCCACGTGAAACACCCTGGGCAACGTATACTCATACGGCAAAAAGTCTATTAACCGGCAGTTGACTTCAAACTACCATGACTCCACTGAATGACATATTCGACCACTTCCACGGTACTACACTACACTTTTTCTAAATTTTCAACCTTCGTCGTTGAAACACTCTTCAGTTCCCCACCTCTCGACTTTTTTCACTTTGATGTTCCTTCCATTCTGTGAAGCATGAAGTCAACTAAAGGACTAATGATAACCATCAAAACGCCTGCCATTTGATATAAATAAAATAATTTGTTAACTTGGAATGACTCTCCAAAAATTTCTAAC